AAGGACATTCTTAATGTCTGATTTATTTACTTTAGTAAATTGTTTTAATGATTCATTTATTCTAATAACACAAAATCATATTACGGTCCCTTTGTGTATTGAAAACAAAATTTTATGATATTCATTAATATTAAAATGTTCAAAACTAAAAGAAATATAGTGCTTAAGGTACTCACTATTCCATTTATAAAATCTTCTCATTAATGTAGTATCCTTCTAAGTATTATTTTATGTATTATCAATATAAATCCTATTACTCCGTATGATATTAGGCTGATTGACGCGACAAATGAATAGGGAGAGCAAATATCACTGCGCCATCTAATCATAAAAATTTGAACTTACTGTTCAATCATTATTTTCCGTCAATTCCTATAATATATGCAAACCATTCAAGGGATTGAAATATTATAAAATGTACAAGTATATACTTTTAACTCATCAGGTTGGAAATGTCTGTGACTTAACACATATAGCTTACATTAGATTGTCTATAATCTTATTATCTTATACTGGATTCACACGAGATTTTTGTTTGTAATCTTAGCTGTCAAATGTTGTTGCTTTAAATGCAAAATGAAACTTTTTGTCAGCTAAAACAAAATAAACAAAACTACTGTGAATCCATTGTTATCTTATTCATTGATAAATTAAAAATTTTTTTAAAATTTAAAACAAAAAATGCGTTAGTTTTAATTAGAAGCAGAACCATCGCAATTACTCTTGACTTTGTATGTTAACACTCAAGTCCACGGTTCAAAGTACCCAGGGTACAATTTCCTGACATTTGCAGCTCGAAAATTATATACGGATAATTAAACCAATCGATTTTTTTACTGTACCATTTATATTAAAACTGTAATATAATATTCTTGAGCGGTCTAATTGATCATTTCATTAAATGACCTATAATTTATTGTTTATATATAAATAAATTATATTTTAGTAAAGTAAAAATTATTAGCCCGCTCAAAAATTATTATTTAATTTTTGATCACAAAAAAAATAAATATTTTAAAACTGTTATAAATAATTAAGTAAACATTATTATAATTTTTATAAATTTATTTGTAGCAAAAAATTGGAATTAGCATAAAAATTTTGCATATGTGCTTTAAATTTAAAATTGACATAAATTTTTCAATTATTTAAAATTATTTATTTTTTGAATTTATTTTTTTTAATTTGCATGTATAGGTTTTACTTTCACATATTTTCTTATATTTAATCTTAAGTAGCAAAAAAATTTGGTGCAATTGCAAAAATTAGAAAAATATTTAATAATTTCATTTAATATAAAATATATATATGTATATATATTGTTTCAATATTTGTAGTATGTTATGTACAACCGCTTTTAATATAAAAATATATGTATATATGTATATAATATTCATGTTTTTGTATATTGAAATTTCAATTAAAAATTTTGTATATATTTTAGTAATTTTTGAATATAGTTAAAGAGGAAATTCTTTAGAGAGTATGCATTTTTTTTATAATGTATATATGTTAATTAGACAGTAGAACAACAATAAATAAATTACTGTAAATAAAATAAAAAATTAAAAAAAATACAAAAAATTACTGTTTGGAATAAATTTAAAAGTTTCATATTACAATGAAATAATAATTTTGTATTATTGGAAAAATTGTTAACAAATTTATAATTAAAAAAACTGGCGATATTCTTTCAGATCTCAAAACTAATATATACAAAAGCATAAAGTTTTAATAAAATTATGACAAAAACAATAACAACAAGCTTTTAAATCGGTTAATTGTATTAACACTAGGAATTATAATTATTGAAAGGAATAATTTTAATTATATTATTTATGCACGGAATGCCCCTTTAATACAATAATTTATTTTTCTTAAACAGAATTGATTTTTACATTACATTAATTGTTTAATAAACACAATAAACAATATAAGAAAACACACTTTGAATAAGATGTACTAATTACATATTCTAAAATAAAAAATTCACACTATGTGTGTATTTTAATAATTATAATAATAATTAGATATATTAAACTATATATAATATGTTTACTCAAGTCAAAAAAGTTTGAATAGGTAAAGAGTTTTATTACAAAGCAACTTATCATCATTAATGCTATACCATACTTTATGTTTTATGTGATGTTATGTATAGGTATAATATTTAATCACCTACTTATTACTAATACGAATATCTCTCAACTATTTAATTGATTGTTGTATTATGGATGCTATCATCGGATAAACGCTTTTAATTTTGTTGTCTTATTGTATCACTATTACCACTGCCTAAGCTACATGCCAAAAACTGCTCGCTCTTTATCAAATTTTAGAAAGATAATATTCTAAAACAATTTGAAGAAAAGCTATAAACTACCTATTTTTTGGTTCTATTTTTTGGGCACACCATTTCGATAGCTGATTTTAGTAGCCTATATAGCTTATTTGTAGAGATATGGAGGCTTAAAACTTTAAACTTTTTACATTAATTGTTTTAAAAACAAGTTCTTAAGCCATCAAGTGCCAACTAGAGAGAGCATATGCACATTTTATATTGATTACATAAACTGTTATCATCATCTAGTAGATATATGTCTTGTTAGTAATCATGTAAAAATTTCCAACTTTTAAACCTGATATCTCGAAAACCAAATTATATTAAGCCGTAAAAGAGCGTGCCCATGAAATTGGAATGGTGCATAATCTAGTAACTGTAGTTACTAATAAGATTACTAATTAGAGTGATAAGTTCTTCTTGTCTCTCTATAGGAAGCAAGTTTTAAAACGAGAATATACCGGCACTAATATGTCCCGCGTAGAATAAAAACAAGAAAGAGCTAACATTTGAGATTTACATGCAATTGATGCAATAGATCCAACTTTTATAATGGGAAGTCTTAACCGAACTGTGTTAGAGTCACAAAGAGTTGGGCTTTATTATTTTTATTCTGTTCGGAGCATCATATGATTAATTATTAATAATTCTGATTAACATATATAAAAACAAAAATTTTTAAAATTGCATTGTATAGCCATGTGAATATAAAATAATTATTATTTTTTAATTTCAAAATTTAAATGCTCATTACATTAATGGCTTCAAACAAAACAAAATAAAATTTCTTTCCTAACTATTTAAAATTAAATATATGTATTAATACTAATATCCATATATACAGTTTTTAAATATATAATTAAAATTTATTTTTAATATTTTTAAAAATTCTTTATATAATAATTAATATTTATTTATAACAAAAGAAAATATTTCTATATAACAAAAAAACTTTTTGCAAGTAGATTTTGTGTAATGAAATTCAAATTTATAAGTAACTGTTTAAATAAAATATAATATTCAAACAATTTGACTAAAAACTTAAAAAGTTTCTTATATAAAATCAATTAATTTAGTATTTCTTAAATTTAAAATATATCAGCATTGATTAAATAAATGCTAATAAAGAAAACAATTTATATAATTTAACTGAAAACATAAATGTTTTTTTTTTATAAAAATAGATATATTGTACAAATATCTCATTAATTAAAAAAAAAATCAGCTTGACTTAAATAAGCATTAGTAAAGTAAATTATTTACACAATTTGACTGAAAACTTAAAGTTTTTTACATAAACAAAAAATATTTTAATATCTCATGAATTTAAAACAAATCGTCATTGAATAAATGTGTGCTAATAAAGAAAAATATTTATACAATTTGATTGTAAGTTATTTATATGAAATAATATTTAAATATTCATAAATATTCATAAAATTTAAATCCAAATCGATTAAATAAATGCTAATAAAATAAAATATCTAAATTCATTGACTGAAAACATAAAAATTTTATATAAAAATAAATATATTGTATTATTAACTCATAATACTTTAAAAAACAAACTTTAAAAAACATCAACTTGGATTAAATAAGTATTAGTAAAGTGAGTTATTTAAACAATTTGACTAAGAACTTGAAAAGTTTTTTATATAAAATTAAGGGTTTTAAAGATACAATCGATTTCGAATATTTGAATGAACCACTTTAAATGTTCGAAAGTTTAAATGTTCTCCCATAAAATATACTGAGTATTTGATTTTATTCTTATTCTATTTTATACAATTAAGTATAAAACCAAATACTCGAACACAATATGGTCCTCTAAGATTTTCGAGTCAACTACTAGAGCACAAGCATTCTCGGACATTGAAATGCTTAAAGCTTTGAAGAATACAAATAATATTTGAATCATTAAGTAAGATAGATATTTCAGTATCTTGTTAAGTTTAAAATAAAATATTAGAAATTTAAATAGTGTTATTGCTTTGGAAAATAAAATTAAGTTAAATTTTCAATTAAAACAGTCACAAGATATGTTCTATATCTTTATAAATTATATAAAAACTTACTATTACTTTACTATACATATTAATATTATTTTATAACCTAAAAAATTAAATTTATTAACAAAGCTCTAATTATTGTTTTTAATTAATGCGATAGTGATAAAATTTTGCACATACTTTCAAAAAAATTAATGAAATACATATTATTTAATTTTAATTAATTATTTTAAAAGCACTTTAGTAATTCTAGTTTACTCTTACTTATTTATATTTAACTAAGTGGTAATTACACATACTACCTTATTCAGTATAAATTGAGTGTTAAATTGAAATTTTATAATTGACTTACATTAAAAGTCTAATTATACCTAAACAATTAAACATCAATATACACAACATACATAAAACTAATGTATCTACAATTAATTAAGGTAGATGTTCACAATTAAGGAATGTCCGATTATTAACAAATTATTATATATAAGAAAATATAAGAATAAACAAATAACAGATAATAATACATAAAATATAAATATACAATATATATATATAAAACCTTTAGTATATTTTTGCAAATGAATGCAATATTCGAGTATAAATATTATATTAGTATTAAAATATGACTTTAAATATGCTAGCTATATCTACTAACTTATGCTTATAGTGAAATAAAATATATATCGCATATACTTGATAAAATTTAATTTTCTTAAACTTATTAAAAATATATGTATATATAGTAAGTAATATTACTAAATTGAAGCAGCACAAAACACAACTTAGCAATAAATCCAATTACTGTTGACTATGAAGTTATAATTTGTTCTGCTTCATTAAATTTACAATAAAGTTTACCAAAGACCTGAAATTATTGTTAGCAATTCAAAAATTCATTGAAACTTTTATACATACAAGTTGAGTTTTTTTTTTTAATTTTTCGCAATTTATGAGGTGTTCCAGTTACTTCAGTACATGAGAAATATTTATATTTTTTAAGTCAGTTTCTCTCTGGCAATTTATGTATTAATTGGGGTATTACTCGTTAGCTGTGTTATTTTCTTTCAGTCACGTTCAATTCTCCAACGTTGCGTTTCACTTGCATTATTACAGGGAGCCACTTGCAGATGATCAAGATTCTTTAAGCCAAACGCATCCAAGCACATACCTGTCTTCGTATGTATAAACTGTTTATTCTCGTATCTCCATCGTTCGTGTAAATCGTCATCATCCTTACAAACAACCATTACAACTAAATGTGGTGGAGAATCACTGTGCTGTACTGTAGCACAACTTAATTCGTTACGTAGTACATTTGATTTAGTAAACGAAAAGAATTGAGTTTTGGATAGAGTTCTGCCACAACTGAAAATACCCAAATTGTATGGTTTTTCATTATCCTGATGCAAATCATCCAAACACAAATTGTCATGTTCATTTTTAAATCTGTAAAGTAAATATTTATTAAAAATAAACTCAACTTATTATATATCAAACTTTTAGGTACAAACCTGCCGTATGCTACAACATTTTTCGTTGGTATAAACTTTTCTGGGTACACGTTACGTAGATACCAGTCAAAACTTTTGCAGCGTAATTTTTTTCTTAACATTATACGATGCGTTACATCGCCAATGTCAGGATGAAATTTCAAATCGGGTCTATACAAAAAGAATATATTTATATATTCGTCCATCCACGCCAAAGCCATTCGAGCTGTATTTATACCATGAGTGTCACGATTTTGTGGAAATCTACAAAATAAATTTTTAATAATATTAATACAGCTAGTATTTTATATTTAGCGCATATATATATGTACTTAATTTTTATATGGGAGGAATCAGACTTAACCTTATATAAAGAAAAAGGTATTCAGTTTTTATATAGACTGAATATACATATAGCGATATAGATATTTCGTATATGTATACTCATATATACAATATAGAATATTATATATAGCTCATATAGATATACGCTAAAGATAAAATATGTCTACTAAATATATATACATGAAAACAGTGTAAAATCAAAAAATTTGTTGACTTAGAATAATGTAATAACACTGAAGATAGATCAAAATATATGTTAAATAAAAATATATACATAACAACTGTGATATTTTTTATTTAATCTTAAGTTTGTTATTTAATATAAGATATTATATAAAAATATAATTTTTTAAAAAGCATGACCTAAAGCCCGGCAAAATGTAAACACAAAAGTTTGTTGACTAAATAATTTAATTAAGATTTAAATTTCATAGTCGAATTTTTCTATAATGAACAAACAGACTTGAATTATAAATATTTAAATAGAATAGAAAATAGATATTTGTCATGGAAATAAAAATGTTAATTAAAAAAAATATTTTTTATAAAAAATATAAAACGCAAAATGGTAACACAATATTATATATATAAATTTGCTTTAAATTAAAAATATACTTTACTATTTACGTTTTTAAGAAATTTAAATTTGATTTTTAGATAGACTAATTAAAACTTGAACGATCAATTCATGTTAACAGTACACATAACATATAACCCATATATAAGTGTCAACCGTTGTCACCCATATATGAGTTTAACATTGTGAGAGAGACTACATTAATATATTATATACAGTCAAACTTCCACAACTTAAAGTACCTTTTGCTGGACTTAAAAGGTTCGACTTATGGAGACTTTGAGTTAAAAAGAATTGTATATAATTTAACCTTTAAATCCTGTTGCACTCTATTAAGTTTGAGTTATAGAAAGTTCAAGTTGTAGAAATTTGAGTTTTTGAAGTTTTACTGTATATATTTTTATATTTAAACCTTTAGGTGCTTTGAAAATGAGTCTAAATTTGCCCTAAATCGAACCATTTAGAAATTTAATTCGGTAAAGCATAAATTCTAATATATAATATGTTAATAATAAATTAATATATAATATATTAATAATAAATTAATTAACAATTAATAATAATAATTAATTAATAATATATCTTATTAATTAATAATTAATTAATTAACATTAATTAATTAATATATCTTATTTCGTTTTATCGCTTGATATACAAATAAATCTTAATTTATTTGTATTTCTTTCACTAAAAGAAACTTTAAGATATCTCAATTGCATTCTAAATTTCAAATTTTGAATAATTTTTGAACATGATCTAAATATGTGTAATTTAATAGAAAAATAATACTTATAAAATATCTTATATATGTTAAAATACGTACGTATAAGGATGGAAATCTCTAAAAACGTGTCCAACTCGAGAGCAAGGTAAGGTTTCGATGCGGCCACCACATTGCCAGATACGGAAAGACATTTCCAAATTTTCACCACCCCAGCCATCCATCTAAAATTAAATAGAAATATTGAATTATAAAGAAATAAATTTAAAATATAGTTTTTAGAAATATTAGTTAACAAGGAAATAATATTTGAGAACGCTAATAAAAATCGTTCTATTCATAGCTAAATTAATTATAAAAAGAAGACTATTTGAAAGTAATATTTTAATATAATCCCGTAAAGTGATGATTATTCTTATTAGTGATAACAAATAATTAGAAATCAAAGTAAGCTAGATTATAACTAACGGGCAGTACAGAGTTCCAGTATATTAATATGCTCTTCTACTGTGTGATGATTTGTGTAGAAAGAAACGATAATTAAAAACAGACTGACAATTTTAGGGATCTGCTATCTTAGCATTATCTTAATTTGTGATAATTAGATTAAATAAAAACTAAAATAGATTACACCTTAACAGAATTTTAGATTTCAGATCATGCGAAGAAATTATAGATGATTTGATATGTTTCTCTTTGCAATGGGGAGGGATTTTATCACATAATTTTTACACATATAATTAAAAAATTGTTTATAGGTATACCATATATATCAATTTATCAAAAATTTATATGGTATATTATTTTTATTGCTAGAGCCCTTAGTACAGGTCACGTAATTTAGAGATATATTTTTATCACCTTGAAAGTATACCTACTTATAACAACATGTCTTTTGAAATCGTAGAAATTTTATAGATTACATATCAATGGTATTTACAAATACGTAATGTTAAGCCCTTCTTTATTATTTCGAATAAATATATATTGAAAAATATTTAATCAGAATTATTTCCAGCAACAGTGCTTAAATAGATTAAATTTCATAAAATAAATGAAAAATTATAAATAAATTACCAAGGCACTTTCGAGAAATTACCTTCACAACAGCATATAATATATATTGCTTTTAGATAACAAAATATATTGTAAAAATAATGATAAGTAATATATGTCATTATTGATTCTGTAGGCTACAATAAATCAAAATACTTCTAATAAGGTTCAGTCATACAAATATATGATAAAAATAGCATTTCTGTAATTGCAACTGCATAACTGCAACTGTGGATTATGCTATCAAGATACATTTAAAAATATTAAGCATATTCTAAATAATGGTTCGATACTAACTACTCAGTGGCGGATACCTACTGAAGATGAGGAAAATATCAAATACTAAGCTTAGCTATCTGCTATCAGTTATACCGACTACCGCATTAATATAGTTTTCTTTACCTTCACCGTGAATATTTTCAATTAATAACCATTATACTCGTTTTTTTTCCATCCCACAGAACCCCCATCACCTAAATTCCACTTACACACCATCTTATTTCCTCTTCTGTAGTACAATTTGGGCTACAACAACAACAGCAAGTAGAAGTAAATAGATGTTGGTGGTGTAAGAGGGAAGAGGACTACGTAGGAGTTAGAATAGTTTGGGGTTAGATGGGATTTAAATTTAAGTCGTCTTAGGTCAAGGCGGAGAAACCTAACCACTTCTATGAGGCAAGTTCAAACGTCAATTAGAGTCAAGTTTGCCTGTGCATTGGGACAGGAATACAGATGAGTCCTAGCTTGACTGATCTCAAGCTAGGACAGTTCTTGTTGCATGGGGATTAGGTATAGTTCTTCCAGGTAGATATTGGGCGATGACCTATTGAGCACTTTGTTGCAATGCAGACTTGGTCGCAAAGAGGATAAAATTAGTATTTCATTTGTATAACCATAGTGTTTCTTTTTATTCTAGATCCTTTGACAAATGCTTACCTGTTCATCGTAACTGCCAATTTCCCAGAAATATTTTCTATCAATAGCAAATAATCCACCTGCCATTGTGGGACTATGTGCAGGACAAATTTCGCGTACTTCATTGCACTCATGCATTTGTCGTTGTTGTTCACGTTCTGACGGATAAATCCAATCAAAATGTCCATTCCATTGAAATCCACCAACTTGATAAGTTTTATAACCATTTGTGCTATATTGAAAATCTTTGGAATCAATAACATCAATTATAGGCACCACTGCGGTTGTACGTGATTGCCTTATGCGATCCAAGAGTGGTTCACACCAACCGATATTGCCTTCACAGTGTGCATCGAGAAAGATTAAAACGTCACCGGTTGCTATACGGGCACCCGCTAAACGTGCACGTATAAGACCCAAACTGAAAGAAAGAACAAAATGTATTTACATATGTACATCGTGTTTAACAAAGAAAAACGTGTATAAAAGTGAAATTTATTTACTGGTATTTAATGATAAAATAAATTATAATTAAAAACAAAAGCAGTTGTCTAAATACGAGATCTGCTGACCTCCAAAAATAGTTGTTGTTTGTAAGCATCGTTGTATCGAGATGTCTGCATTTATGTATGTATGGTTGGTTCAACATCATTTTTAATTTTGATATTTAAACGTTATTTACATACATCAATAGAAACTTGTTTATATAAAGTTTTCAACATATATTATTTTACTTTATTTTATTTTATTTGATTTTAAAAATTTAGCTGCTGTTGGTGACGCAGAGTTAAACTAGTTATACAAACTATGAAGAGTAGCATCGGAAGGCATTAACAGTGAGAGGAAAGCCGAAGCCATTATGAAAATCTGCCAAAAGGTCATGTGTAAATATTTTTGGAAATGTAAATAAGACTATTCAGCCTGTTGCCATTGCTAATATATCAAATTAATATATATCATTTTGACGGATTGATGTTGAAATAAATATAAATTTTTAGCAAAAACACTTGTGCAAATAGAAATGAATTTTCGTATATGTGCCCTTCTTTTTGCTTAATTAAAAAATTAGAAATTTTATGGTTTGACGTGTGATAAGCACATTAGGAGATAATGATGTCAATGAGAAAAAAAACTGTAACTTAGTCTTGTTGGAATCTAAATTTAGCAAACTGTCACCTATTAACCATATTAAACCCATTGAAGTTGAACTTTCACTTACCGATTCTTAAGGCGTAAAACTTGCACTTTGTTATTATGTATGCGAGAACTGATGTAATAATCAAGTTTTCCAGCCAACTCCATGTTCGTGCTGCCATCATCGACGAGTATAATTTCTTTAAGCACGCGAGAACTGCAAGTGTTTAGCGTGCTGTGCAGTGTACGCACCAACACAGAATATGGTTCATTGTAGAATATGATAATCACAGACGTTGTGGGTAATGCATCCAAATCGAATTTTTGTTTTTTACAATCAGGGTGTCTACCATCGTGCAGAGTGCGATTATATGAAAGAGTTTCACTAACCTCTTCATTCAGCGCGATCTTTTTATATATTTCGTCACCACGTTCTTTGGCTTCACCTTTTAGAAAGACGGCTTTACCGTCATCTCCCAAACCCGGAACTTGTTTCTTCAAATCCAAACGTATGCTTAACTCATAAGGCGATTCGGTTGTTGGCGCTTGCTGTGGTGGTGCTTGTGGTATAATTTCATTATCAATTTCGTCTTCAATTTGATTTCGATTGTTTTGTCCATTATTGCGCCAAGGATGTAAATGTTGTGCCAAACGATGTGGCATATGCCTCACCCCACTACCAGAATCTTGTATTTCTTCTACTTGTAACACTTTCACATAAAGCACAAAACAGAGGCCAACAAGTGAGAATATTAGTAATTTACCGTAAATGGAACGATACCGAGGAAGCATTTTGTTTTGTTTTGTGATTCTTGTATATCTTGAATTTAATTTAATTTAATTAATCGCTAACTAAAACTATGGACGGATAAAGCGCACAATTTTACACTAAATTGTATTTCAATATATTCTTTGTTTTTTAGGTTTAACCTAAATGGCACAATTTCCAAAAAATCCAGTTTTGTAAACCACTCCTCCGTGCGAGTGTTGCGCTACTGCTACTTCTTAACTGATGTGGCTAAACCATACTAACTAAATGTGTTTGATGGCTCTTCTTTGCCATCATCGTCTTCTTGGCTAATAACGTTAAACTGTATGCCAAAGTGTTAACTGTTGCTTCTACTCTTTTTTATCTTTAATTAATTGTATTTTTATACATTTTATCTCTGCTGTCTCTGCTCTTCTACCAATCTGTTATTTGTTTTCTCATCGCTAAGTCGTTACTTGCTCCCAAGTTATGTTTATGTTACTGAAATGCGAGTAACCGCAGTTTGTTTATAACACTTTACTATCAGTTTTTTCTTAACGATAAAACACATTAAGTAATTTATTTTAGTCCGCAAAACAGAGTTAATCAATTGTTGCACACCTGCCTGCTGTTTACTTTTACGCTTTTTGTTTTCATGTTTTCTTACGTGTCTCATTTCTGTCTTATTCTTAAACAATTATAAATTACAGTATGTTGGTAAGGCAGTTTATACACAAGCGAGTTGGCAGCACTAAAAACTACAATCCAAAGACAAGGCATTTATGAACGAATTTTTTAAAATATAATTCGCTACATTTTTAACTTGTAATAAAATTAAACAAATAGAATATTAAAACAAAAATGATAATTTTTGCTATTTAAACTAAAAAACATTTAATAAAGTGTTTTGTAAACAATAGTAAATTACAGCCACAATATTTTATTATTTTTAATAAATTTTATTTTTGGCTAACCATATAACTGTTTCGAATATTGCCAAATATTCGTCATCAGTGGTCTTTTTTTAAAATAATTCTTATATTTAATTATGCATAATAAATTTTCAGAATCAGAATCAGTATTTTGTTCAATTATATATTTAAATACAGAACTTAATTCTTTTATTTGCATTTTTGTTCATTAAAAAATAAATATTTTTAATTTGGTATAGAAAGATTTTCTTTTATATCCGCGCGTACCAACAGAAAATATATTTGAAAAATACAAACCTGCAAATACGAATCTGCAAATATAAACTCAATTTATAAGAACTGTGAATAAATTTTTATTTTCTAAAAAAATACATATATGTGTATTATTTATTATATTGTATATAAACAAATAATAATTTTTTTAATCATTTCTATTATATAATGTACAAATAAATATTGTATTGTTTTAATAATGTACCATTAAAAGTTAAATAATAACTTTTACCTCCAAAAAAAATTGGTATTGCTACCTAAGCATGATATAGACGATGCTATATGTATGCAAATCAAGTATGCCGTGCTACCAAATCGCACTGTGTATATTCAAGTATGCATACCAAATTTCGGTATACAGACATGTATGCGATAAAATTAAACCTTGTTTCAAAGTGTATAGCAAAGCCCATACTTGGTCTGAATACTTGATGTGCATGAATGTAGCATCGTCCATAACTTTAGTAATTTCAGTATTAAAAGTATTTCTTGTACTGTTTTTTTATATAAACTTGAGATAGCATTCAATATAACTCTAGTTAAGTTTATTTTACATAATCTAATCAGATAGCTAATTACGACTTGTTAAACGACTGTGACCAGTAGCGTAGTAAGTAATGTGCCAAGGGGAATATATATTAGTGTGAGGTTTTGCACTTCACTTAATTATTATTAAGGTTAGATATTCATGCTAAAGGAAAGTGCGGAGATCAAAGAATTTAAAATACTTCACCAAAATAAATAAAATTAAGAAACAGTTTAATTTATATACACATTAAATACTCATATGTATTTAAAAATGTATGTTCACAAAGTAGTATTCTTATTAGTATAATTTTCAAAATACTTCTGTAAATATACTCTTTGATCAAAAACTAGAACTAACTCTTCCATAGCTTTTTTCCATTTTAATATGTTTTAAAGTTTTATCAATATTTCTAGTAAATATTAGTTCTATAATTCTTTATAATCCTCAATGCAGAAATTGTGGAAACTTGGAGAAAAAGAGACAGTTAAAATTTTCACTGTGAATGCTCAGTTCAGGCGTTCAGAAGTATGAGGTTTTTAGGGAAATTTTTTTTTTTGACAACTTTAACACGGTTCATCGGTAAAGAAGAAATACCTATTAAGCTATTAAATTCGACGGGATGGATTTCTTGTAAGGAATGTGGCAGCAAAATGCTAAAAAATTGCTAATTGAGACTAATGAAAGGTTATCTGCAACTATGCCATTACTAATGCTTCAACGATATTTAGGACGTGTGCGAGTTAGGCTAAGTTGATGCTAAACCAAATGGGAGATTTTTTGGGATTTTTTGCACTGCACACATTTAGCCATTTATCAATACGTATCGACCTTATGACGTGTGCGAGTTAGGCTAAGTTGCGTTCTAAATAAGGGAAATTCTAAGATGAGCCGATAATGTAGTGATGTGTCGATACGTGTTGATAAATGGCTAAATGTGTGCAGTGCAAAAAATCTCAAAAAATCTCCCATTTGGTTTAGCATCATCTTAGCCTAACTCGCACACGACCTTAGTTGGGACCACAGGAAATAATGGAGAGATTGCCAATATCATCTGCGAAGATAAAATATTCGATTGATTTTGTGAGAGTTCACGATATTTCTACTTTTTGCTTTTAGACTTCTCTATTAAGATCATTTAGAACTACTTTCTTATTTACTTACTTACATCTAGAACTAGAGTGAATAAATTTAAACTTTATGTGAACTTTTCCAATAATGTCATCTAGAACTACTTACTTACATCTAGACTTAGAGTAAACAAATTTTAACTGTATGCAGATGGTATAAAGTAGGTTATAATAAGAATTCAAAATTTTTTATTAGCAAAGACTCTTTTACTAGTGGTTTGTCCCGAAGGTTACTCTTTCAAGACTTCTACAAAATCCTGGGCGATTTTAATTTGTTAAGGTAAGCCATTGTATGTCACATCTTCTGTTAACCCATGCCTTTATTCACATATACCCAAACTGGAGGACAAGAAAAGGATGTGATTTTCTTAGATTAATACATTAATTTTAGTCAGAAAAAAACTCTATAATATGGATAATTAGCTTAAATCTTATTATATACATAAATAAAAAGTGAAGCATAAAAATTTGTTTGTTAATTTAAAAATCGAAATCATTTGCTCAAAATTAATGTTTTAAATTGCAAACATCACACGTACAATCGCTGTGTGTGGCAACTCACCTTTTCTCTAAGTTTATGAGTTCAGAAATACATGCGACAGGTGCCTGGAGTGCATGTAGGAAGCATAATCCTTGCAGCACGCACTGATTCTACCACCGCTGATGAGGGAAACCACCCGTTTGACATCACAAATTATTTTTTGTCAATTGTAAGTGACAATAAATTTTTATCACAAAAACAAATCTCCTTCGCCGTGATTACTCTGCATTATAATTGCTGGTCGCAATTTGAGACCAATTCGGAGTGTTTTATATGCAATGCACATAGCGTCAAGTGAAACCAAATCCTCTTAAATTATGCAATAATTCAGGAATTGAAGGAAAATGATTAATATTTAGTAAAAAAATACTCAAATTGGAAGAGACAATATGAGAAAAAACGTATACTCTATTTACTTCCTAACAGAGTCCATCGAAATTTTTGCTACCCGCTGTGTTGTGTGTGGTTTCAAAATGTAATTTTATGCAGTTCCGTTTGGTGTTGAAAAGAAAAATACATGTTCCAATACAAATTTGGAATATCAATAGTTAAGTAACTTTCATAATAAAAAAAATAGAATATGCAGCATGTCCTTTTTTCATTTTTACTAGTTAAGCAATTTATGCCGGAGATATAAACACCCAATATTCGTAATACTAAAAGCAATTTAGTGACAAAGCAGAAATCCCAACAACGACCACTAATAAAAAATAGCAAAAAATCATGGAAAATCGGATACTAAGTTATTTAGCTGAGAGCATTGTCATTGTGGTTGCCAAATTTAAAATTGCACAATTTTACCATAACTGCTCCAGTTACACCCACAAACTTCCGTTCTGCGTGTGCTCTGTTAGTTGCTTACCGACAACGTTGGCATTAATTTTGACCAGCAGCGTTTCACGCTCGCAGTGCCACTTTTCCACACTCCATGTCAGCAATTTAGGTTTTTTATTATTTCAAATACGCGTAACCACATTTTGGTGGCGCGTACATATGTGACAATGTGCGTGCACTTATTAAGTTGTACTATGTGGGCCCACCCAACCTAAAAAGACCATTCCACTATATGTTTTTCTCGAATTTTACTTAGAAGCAAAAAAACCCAAAAAACTGATGACGTAGTTTGTGCGGCGTCAGTATTGTCGGTGCCGCCCATATCTCAGCATGTGGGTTGAAATTGAACAGTAATTGTTCACAAAAAAAGCAACAACAACAATGAGCTTACAAAGTTACTCCTATAAAATATCATATAGAAGGACTTTACTTTAAGCTTTTGTTGTTATACCAAAAAAAACTGATTGGAGTTCTCAGTATAAACAAGTACTTTTAAGTCATTGACACAAATTTGTTGATAATACATTTAACCCACCGAATTTTGTAGAACACAAATAACTCTCTATTCTATATTTTAAAGTTTATACCAACAAAAGCGCCTTCTAAAGTATAAAACTATAATATATATTTTATATATAATACCGATTTATAGCAATTCAGTTAAAGCAATTCATAATATTCATAAATATTGTTTATTAAGCGAGATTACATTTCGCTTTAGATATAGATCTTATCAATGTAGTCCAAATCATAATGAGTTTCGACAATCTATATATGTAACGTAGCCGATCCCAAGCCCGGTTGAAAAGGATGAGGGAACGTGACCAACTCATCTGAATGGCTTTTTGCACATCATAACATCTCAGGAAGTAGGTGAGGACAAACAACTCTTCTAGAAATCACTAAAGAAGCGGATCATCATAGTCTTTGAACTCATCACTCATTCATTAATCTTTACATATACTCTTAACCAACAATCAAAACCGCAGTTAAACTATATTTCCATGGGGTAACAGCAGGCACATCGGATGTGAAGGTGAAGGTGCCAAATTTACGTTTGAGTATCTAGATGAAGAAAAGGATAGAAGAAAAGGATAGCAGTAAGTAAGTAAATATATGTAACATTTATTTATATCAAGAGCACAAACATCATGCACTGAACGAAAATCGATTTGGTTCCAGTAGTTGATTTTATTTATACATTCTACTTTGTTCTGGAGCTTATAGAGTTTATTTTTCTTAAGAGCTTAAACATTATTTACGATTTGCGATAAAAATAAACGATTTGGTTCTAGATATAAATCCCTTCAATGAAGTTCAGATTATTTTAAAGCAACGTTATGAGTTATGGATACCTATAAGCATCTTATAAACTTCAAATATAGATCTTATGTTAGCAATGCAGTCCCAATAACTTTTGTAGCGTTAGTATTATAA